CAGCTGGGTAAAGGTACCCTCCTTCTAAGCCTGGTAGTTGAACACTTACTAGCTGTGGTACTAGTTCAACTGGATCATGCTATCATTTTGTACTCTGGTCTAGGCTTGCTCACACAACAGAACCTGAGTTTCTGGAGTGCAAAAGTCAAAGACTCGGAAAAAACATGAAGTCAATTGTGCTGCTACATTCTTTGAGTCAAAGCGAATTACAGGGACAGCCACATTAAAGACATTGAGACTTTACTTCCATTTAAGAAGAGCTGTAGACTACAGACATTGTAAGGCAAAATATGGGCAGGATTTTTTTTTTTTGGTGCTAAAGCAAGAATGCAGGGCTTTGCTACTGTTAAGCAAAGAATATATTATTGAGCCATACTCCAGCCTCTATAACTATTTTAAAACTTTTCATTCTCTGCTTCAGGTAAAGGAGCTTTCTCACTATTCTAGGAACAGAACAGACATGCTTTCCCAACTCTAAACATCTGTTTAAGCTATTTCTTCTGTCTCCAAACTTACTTGTCACACATCTTGGTAGCTCAAATTCCATCCCTCCTTTAAGACCCATTTTCAAAACTAATGTATCCACGAGACTTTTCTGTATTCTTTCAACAAATGTGGTTTCTCCCTCTTAAGAAGTTGAAATGCTGTTACAGACTCCATCAAGCCCATTGGTTCTGAACTATTTGTGACCAGAGACATCATTACATGCAATTGAAAACAATCTTTTTCATCTTAGTATATAAAATGACTATAATTTGAGGTGATAGTTTCTATTAAATTGAATCTGCTGTGATTTCTTTATTCACTGTGTGAATGACTACCTGCCTAGAACATTGCTAAAAATCACAATGTGATTTTTGTGATTATTTTTACAGTTACTTTGAAATCTAGGTTTTTCTCTCAGGCTCCCAAGTAAACCTTTCAAAATTATCTTTGGCTTTCAGTATTTAGTATGTTACAAGAAGATTTATGATTTACAGAATAAAAATAGAGCTGCATTGGGATTTACTGTCTTTCTGTTTCTATTATCCATATGCTTGAGAATTAAGAGAACACTTGGTGTTGTTTATTGGTTAAATAAATTCAACTGAAATTCCTTGTTTAAGACACCTCTACTAGGAGATAAAAGTGTATACTGTGTAAATGATGCTTGTGGTCAATACTTCTAGCATATAGAAAAAATGCATTTATGAGATGTCAATTGTACCCTATGTCCCACTTTCAATGTGCCAGTCCACTGCTTATCAAGATGTTTTTTTCTCCTTAAATTCATGGTTAGCAGAAAGTGAGTCAAATTTATCCCTTGGAGGCTATATAGCTGAGGCGGGTTTAGTATTTTTTTTAATCCAATAATAGTGCTCTATTTAGTTCAGACACTTTGGAGTAAACTTTACAAGTCTGTCTCACTTTGAAACTTTAAGTAACTCAGAATTCTGCAGCAATAATGAAATGGATAACACCCAGAAAAAATTCAACAGTAAATGAAGAGAAAAATAAGTCATATATAAGAAATCCAAACCGGAGTATATGTGCCTGTGCTCATGCACACACACACACACACACACACAAACACACACTTCAAGAATATGTCTTATTAATGTCAGGATTAATGCTAATTAATTCCACTTGGATATGAACCCAGGTCTCAGAATATTTTCTTTATATCACAATTCAGGTTATTTTATTTTTAAGATAGAAATGCCCTTCAATTGAATTTATACTATTTCTTTAATCTATCTATCCCTTTTTCTTTCCTTTCTACCTTAATCCTTTATACTAAAATAAATCCTTATTAAAATTTTCTGTAAAGAAATGAAACTATCAAAATATTAGAAAACAAACTTGTGATACAGTCATAATTGCCCTTGTATTAAATAAGTTCTAGTAGCAGCCTGACAATGGACCTAATTCCAGAGGAGCAATAAATACAAGAACAATTTGAGAGAGCAGCAGCAATTCTAATTTAACTAAAATACCTGTCATTTCCAGAGGCATTAAATTCTGAGATGTTACTAAAACTAATGCATTTTTAGTTAAGGGTAAGGTAAGATGACAGGATTTTTTTTCTCACACCAGTTCAGGGCATTTAGTATTTTGGCATCTTTCCTGAAAACTCTTTTTTCATACATTTCCCTTCCCACACTTAATGTGGGCCTGGCCACATATCTGCTGGGTGTATCCTCCTGGAAGGCATTCTTGCACATAAAGGAATCTGGTCCAACCCCTTTCAAAATAAAAAGAGAACCAACATTAATGTAAGCCACTCAGACAAGGTTAGACCAGAAACCCACAAAATAGTCAACCTTTTTGTTTAATTTTAAGATGCTAAATTTTGAGGCATTTAGTTATATAGAAATCTGTAAATGAGGGGCTGGGAAGGTGGCTCAGTGGTAGAGCGCTTGAGCGCTTGCCTTGCATGCATGAGGCCCTGGGTTCGATTCCTCAGCACCACATAAGCAAAAAGTAAAAAGCCAGAAGTGGCGCTATGGCTCCAGTGGTAGAGCGCTAGCCTTGAGCTGAAGAGCTGAGGGACAGTGCCCAGGCCCAGAGTTCAAGCCCCACGACTAGACCAAAAAAAAAACAACAAAAAACCCAAAACTAATGATATAGACCAGTGAGTGCTCCTCACTGAGCTTTTGGGCCTTGGTTTTAGAACCTATGAATGTTTTCCAGAGCTTCCACCCAGCTTGCACGTAAACTTTGCTCCTCAAAGTACTTCATGGATACACAGCACCCACATTCCCCAGAGATGGTTGGAAACCCAGTATGGAGTGTTTCAACCCAGGCCTACTCAGACAAAATCTGCAGTTTTATAGGAACATTGACTTTTGCAAATAACGTCTGTGAAGATGAGGCAATTCCTCGTTTTGTAATCTTCCCAGGCATTTGTCTGCTCCTTCAGGTCCTTGGTGAGATGAGGCTCTAACTGCCTTCTATTTCAAAGCTGCAGACAAACGGTTCTGAGCCCATTGACAACATGACAGAAAACAAGAGGGTTTATAAGTTCTTCTAGGGTGCTAGTAATAAATTAAAAAACCATCAACACCACCTCTTTCCCTCCTCCCGCAAAAAGAAAACAAAAACAAACAAAACAACAAAAGAAAATAGACATAAAAATCACTGTTAATGAGTTAGAACTCCTGAAAAGTTTAAGACTGTCATCTTCAAGAGCTGAGTAGGAGCTGGGTGGTGGGGCTCACGCCAGTAATCCTAGCTACTCAGGAGGCTGAGATCTGAGGATCGTGGTTCAAAGCCTGGAATGGTCTTTATCTCCAATTAACTGTTCAGGAAAATGCTGGAAGTGGGGCCATGGCTCACGTGGTAGAGCTGTAGCCTTGAGCGAAAAAGTTCAGGGACAGTGAGTGCCCAGAGCACACACAACCGACCCAAAACAGAAAGAAAGAATGGAGCAGGCTTTGCCGGGGGTGTGGGATTCTAGGGTGTTCTTTACATAACTCCACACCTGGGCGAGCTTGGTTGTCCCCAGCATAGGTGGTCTTGGCTTGGAGAGCCTGCCTGGGCATCTTGGCTCGTAGAGCCTGCCTGGGACCCACCCCCGCGAGAGCGCTGACGGGGAAGTTTGTCCTTACGCAGCTCCCATAGAAGGTGGGCCCCGCCCCAGCCCGGGCAGGGCGCTGGCTTCCGGGTTGCTTCTTTAACCAGCCCACTGCTACTGCGCATGCCTGATCCTTTTGCCCGCTCCCCGCCCCAAACCAGCCTTCCCAGTTTTCCCGCCGCCCTGCAGAGCAACGAGTCTGCCTCTCTGCTCTCGGCACCGGGCATTTCCGTGACTTTAGACATCAGCTAGAGGGACGCTGTGGTTCTAGCTTAGCCTTAGAATTCTAGGGCAGGTGATGAGATGATGATTCCCCGTGCGGGTCGTATGTTTGCAGACGCACAAACTACTTAAAGCTTTCACCGAGTCCAAGGAGTTGTTCCAAGTGTGCAAGTGAGGCACCAAGCCTCAGTCAAGCAGACCGGGGTACCCCCGACGCGAGTGGATCCTTCCTCCTTCCACAGCTCCTGGCTGTGGGGAGTGGGTGAACTTGTTCTAGGGAGGAGCAGCCTCTCCTAGTGAGCGTCGTCCTCTTCATCTGAAAGAAAAACGCAAAGGCCACCGCTGACCAACGCTCCTAAGGACTGGGCTCCTGGGGCCTGGAAGGAGTCGGTCAGAACTTCCTTGGTTAAGAGTCCTGGAGGCCAAGGTTGCCCCAAGGCTGTTGATTTTGATCTGCTCAGAACAAACATACAAAAACTTAATCCTAAGATCTAAGATCTGAGTGTTTTGTTGTTGTTTTTTTTCAGATAAGGACCGACATTTCCTGTCTGCATTTTTTTATTATCTTTTGTTTTTTTTCCTGTGTACATTTTTTTAAAACACCTTCGTTCACTTTTCTACTTTCTTGGTACCCTTAATCGAAGGGACCAAAACACACTCTTGGAGAGTGTGTTTTTATTTGGAGGAGCAGAGAAAGCTCTAGTACAGTGCGTTAGGAATAAGCTGGTCGCCTCTCAGTCTGTTCCTCTGTAAAATGGACTTGGCTGCCAGGTCATGCATGCCTGGATAAAGTCAGGTCCTGGAAAACCCGTGTAATTTGCGCCCTGTGACTGTAGTCTTTGCTCGTGCCCTAAATGCAGCCGTCCTCTCCAAGTCAATGTTTCAAGGGAGGGAGGATGGGATGGGTTCAGCTGGCCACGAACCCCCGCTCCAGCCAAGCTCCGGATCCTAGGCCTCGGGGCGCAGAGGTGGGGGTCCGAGTTGGCTGCCTCCAAAGGCGGTGCCCAAGCCCCGCCCAGGCGCCGCCTCTTCACCCCGAGGGCCGCCGCCAAATCCTGGTGCCTGGATCACGTGGAGCGGGGCCGCTCTGAGCATGCTCAGAGGGCCTGGCAGGTGGGGCCCGCTGCGCGACTCCAGGTCCGGCCGGCCCAGGCCAGGGGGGCGGGGAAGAGAGGGAAGTGGGCGGGGGCCGCGGGCGCCGTCGCCGGAGACGCTCGCTGGTCGCCGCGGGGCGCCGGGTTGTTTGGAGCGTACCCTGGCCCGGACAGCATGAGCTATGGCATCGGTCAAGGTGGCCGTGAGAGTCCGGCCCATGAATCGCAGGTGAGTGTCGAGCACCCCATCCCGGAAAAGCTGGTCTCCGGGTCCTCTCAGAGGTCAGCCTGGATGTCAGCGTCCCGGGCAAGTAAGTTCCCGGCCCACCTGGTGCTGGCTGGCCGCTGAGGGCCTGGAGGACGCCGTGCTTTGCTGTCCCTTTCATGGTGTCCTGGAGAGGACCCGGGGAGTAGAGTTGGCGAGGTCTGGGGGAGACGATTCTTACATCCCGCCCCCAGCCCAACAACTCCTGCAGGTTTTCGCTCGTCCCCTTTTTCCGAAGCATTTTTGGGCTCCACTGCAGGGGGGAGAGGGGGGTGGGCGTGGTGAGGGGGAGGGGACACCCTGAGCTGGCAGGTGTAAATCCCTCCTTGGTGACAACTCACCTAGTCTCTGTCATCCATGCTACTTTTCTTTTTTAAACTGTCTTAGAGACAGTTTTGAGGCCCCTGAACTTAGCAGTTCCCTAACTTCAGGTGAAAAGGGGAATGAGGAAACTTTGACGAAGTTTTGGCTCCTAAGTAGTCAGAGACACTTTACACGTGTTAGCACTAATGCTGATGTTGAGAGGGAAGAGTGAGAACACGTTTAGAATTTAACCTTGTTACGTGTGTCTATAAAGTCCTGCTCACTCCCTTGTTCCCCGAAGTCATCTGTGCTTCCTTGTCAATAAATGACTTCTTTCTTCATAACCAGTTTACAAGATGCTTTGGAAAAAGTTACTTTTTAAACTAGTTTAACTTTCAAGACTGAAGTAGATCTAACTGGGACAACCTCCAAGGTGATAGACACAGTTCGCACAGAGACGTTTGTATTTATTAACTTTTCAACCTGGTTGTTGTGCATCTGACTTGCTATGTGGCCTTTCTCTTCAGGTCATGCTGGCAACTTGTGGAGGTCAGTGTTGGCTGATTTCTCACTACTGGTTGGGCTACTGGAAGACCACAAAGTCAAGAGCTTACTAGAACCTTATTTTACTCATCTGAATCTATTTTTCCATTTAGCAAGCAGGGAGTCATTCTAAATTGTGACCTTTAAAAACTAGTGTTTCAGAAGTCAGTGAGCCAGTTATTTTTTTGTGAGTGTGTGTGATTGTCAAGTTAATTTTGAAGATGTTAAAAATATTTTCTTTTTCATTTTTGAGATAAGGTCTTACTAGGTAGCCTAGGCTACATAGAATTTGTAACCTTACCTTGGTGTCGTAATTGCTGGAATTACAGATAGGAGCCACCAGGGCCAGGTCACTTTTTAGGGAAGGAGTTTGACATTTTAAAAAAGTAAGCCCTAAGAGAATATTTGCTTCTTTGTACACTCAGCACTCAGTCATGCAAGTTAAACAGACCTCAAAGTTATTTAGGTGATTTAAAATGATTTTTCTTTCAAGAAGTGGTGGTCTACTCTTGCAATCTCAGCGCTTGGAGGGCTGAGACAGGAGGATAGAAAATCTGAGGTCAGCCTAGGCTACCCTTAGCTTTTTGTTTTTTTTGGTCTGTTGTGGGACTTGAACTCAGGGCCTGAATACTGTCCCTGATCTTTTTCGCTCAAGGCTAATGCTCTATTACTTTGATCCACAGTGCCACGTCTGGTTTTCTGGGGGTTAATAGAAGATAAGAGTCTCATTGACTTTCCTGTCCGGACTGGCTTTGAACCTTGATCCACAGATCTCAGCCTCCTGAGTTGTTAGGAGCCACTGGTGCATGGCTTCCTTAGCTTTTTTGCTTATGGCTGATGCTCTACCTCTTGAGCCACAGCTCTACTTTTAGCTTTTTACCAGCTAATTGGAGATGAGAGTCTTATGGACTTTTCAGCATGGGCTGGCTTTGAACTGCAGTCCTCGGATCTTAGCCTTATGAGTAGCTAGGGTTGTAGGTGTGAGCAACTGAACCTTAATCTTAGAAAGTGTTTTCACTACAGATTTACATATATGATCAGTTCTTATTGCTTTGCAATAATATGAACACCCTAGAATGTTGCACAGATTAACTTTAGAAAGCATTTATTAAGCTCCTACAGATGTCTCTCATTATGTTAAGTGCTATCTAGAATAATATGAAATTTGTGAATTATTGTGTTTGCCAAGACCCCACTGTCTGGTGAGAGTAGGGTTAGATATTGACATGATTCATAAAACTGGGCCTCCAGAGACTGGTGTGAATTCATTGCCTTAGGAATGTAGGCCTTAAGCCCATGGAGGGATGGTTGGAAACAAAAACAGAAACCCCATTCTTTGAGAAGGTAGATACGATGTTTGTTCTTGGCAGACAATTCTGGTGACATCAAGAGTGGGATGAGAGTTAAGGAAGCAGCAACCAGGTCAGAAGGGGAAATAGGATGGTGGCATAATCCACCAAGACAGTTCACTGGCCTCATGGACAGGATTATCCAGTTTATTGGATGGGAAGAAGTAGGGAGGGAAAGGGGAAGGATGTTGAGTCATTATCCGAAGTTTGATTCTTAGATGGGTCAAGATTTGGGGAGAGTGGACAGTAAAGTAGTGCATTCTCTCTCACGGTGTAGAAAGTGTCATGTAGGAGCTCTGCAACAGAGTGAGTAAGGTGTGTCTTTTGACCTTGAGGTATGGGAAGGAGGGCTTCTGTTTGTGATGGGAAGTGCTTATCAGATAGTTGGAAACTTGTTTAAGGTCTCTGAGGATTCAGGATTGTCATCTGAAAATCTTTTTTTTTTGTCAGTTGTGGGGCCTGAACTCTGGGCCTGGGTGCTGTCCCTCAGCTCTTCAGCTCAAGGCTAGTGCTCTACCACTTGAGCCACAGCACCACTTCTGGCTTTTTCTGCTTACGTGGTGCTAAGGAATGGAACCCAGGGCCTCATGCATGCAAGGCAAGCATTCTACCACTGAGCCACCTTCCCAGCCCTCATCTGGAAATCTTGTGCACAGAGATGACAGTTGACATATGGTAGGAGAGAAAAAAAGGTTGCCAGGATTTGATATTGGGATGTCTGTCTTTAGGATTCCAGGAAAAGAATAACTTGTTACCTTAGAGAAGAACTCACATGGCAGGTTGTGTGGGGGAAGGAAAAGAGTCTCCTGAAGGTGGTGGTGGTTGTTAGTGCCAAATGTTTCCAAGGTGGTAAGAATTCAGTGAGGTCCTTCCTTGGTCTTAGAGATAAACATACTGGTAACCTTCAAAAGGGCGGTTACAGAGAGTCCAGAATCCAGAAATTGGCAGTAAAATACAAGGACATATAAAAATGGCCAACTGGGGTTGAAGGCATGGCTTAGTTGGTAGAGTGTCAGCCAGTACACAGAGCATACCAAGTTCAAGTCCCAGTCTTGCAACAACAACAACAAAATAATCAATACTTGGCTTAGTTCATAAGGGAAGACATGTAAATTATAATGACCATAGGAAACTTTTTTTTTTAATCCAGTGAGAGTGGTAGATATGAACTGAGCTTTATCAGTTGTTGGTAAAACAGTGGGGAAAAATACCCAAAACAAAACACCCTTTGAATCAGTCACCAGCAATAGGAAGGGCCCAAACCTCTGAAACTTTAGAAATTAATCCCTTTGATCTAGTAATTTAACTTTTAAGAATTTCCTATGCAGATTGCTTGTACTTGACAAGATGTATGTTCAGGGATGCTTGCTGCACCATTGTGTGGTACAATGAAAGAAATTTTAAATGTACAGAATATAGAAACGAATGGGGATTTATTAAAATTGGGACCTATATCATCTGATGGAATACTATGCAGCACTCAAGATTGTGGTGTCTTTTTTTTTTTTTTTTTTGGTCCTGTCGTGGGGCCTGAACTCTGGGCCTGGGCGCTGTCCCTCAGCTCTTCGGCTCAAGGCTAGCGCTCTACCACTTGAGCCACAGCGCCACTTCCGGCTTTTTTCTTTTTGCTTATGTGGTGCTGAGGAATCAAACCCAGGCCCAAACCCAGGCCCTCAGGCATGCAAGGCAAGCGCTCTACCACTGAGCCAACTTCACAGCCCAAGATTGTGGTGTCTTAAAAAGAGTTTCACCTTAGGTATTGGAAAAAGCAAGATACATACACAAATACAAACGTGTACACAGAGATCTATAGCTGCATATAACCAATTAATAATGAATCCTCTTAAGAGGAAAACTGAGGAAGAATCTGTTAGATGAAGATGAAAAGCCTTTTCATTTTCCATTTTATTGTTTCAGTTTTCACATTGCTCATGCATGATTGACCAATAGTTGCAAGGTTTCATTTTTATTTACCATTGAGACAGGAAACAGAAGTTTCAGTAGGTTGCTGGGTAGGATTGGAGAAAGTTGTTAAACAATTTAGAAACATTTTTTTTTAGCAAATGTTTGTTTCATTGTGAGATTTCATACTTACTATACATACCTTATTCCCTCCCTGTCCTTTTTTCTTTCTACTGAGGCTTTAACTCAGGGCCTGCCTCACTTGGCTTTTTTGCTTCAAGCTGGCTCTCTACCACTTGAGCCATACCTCCACTTTCAGTGTTTTGCTGGTTAATGGGAGATGAGTTTCCCAGAGTTTTCTGCCTTGATTGGCTTCAAACTGTGATCTTTAGCCGTCAACCTTCTCAGTAGCTAGGATTACAGGTGTCTAATCCTGTTCTATTGGCCTTCCTTATTGTCCTTCCTTCCTTCTTAAAATTACTTCAATGGATTTCCTTACTGTATTTATAGCTCTGGCTAAGAGGAAGCAACCCACAGGAGAGAAGGAGGGAGAGGAAGGGAGAGTGGGGGGAGGAATGGAGAGGGGGGGAGAGAGAGAGAGAGAGAGGGTGAGAGAGGAAGGAGGAAGGAGAGGAGAGGAAGAAGGAGGAGGGAGGGAGGGAAGGAGAGACAGAGAGAGAGAGAGAGAGACAGAGAAACAGAGAGAGAGAGACAGAGAGAGACAGAGATTGCTGCAGCCAGGACCTTAAGAATGGGGCAAAATGGTGTAAAAGTGAGTTTGCCCTTAAGAAGATACTCCTCAGCCTTTTGTCCTAATGAGTTCAAGTGCTTGATTCTGTCCAAGTTTTGAGGAGTTTGTTTTTACTG